CATACTCTAACATTTGTGCTTTTTTCAGTTGCTTATAAACATATTACTGGCAAAGGTGTAATTACACTCTATTTAGCACACACAGGGCTACCATAATGTGTTATCAACATGTATGTACATTTTTGTATTTTTGAGAGAATATTGTTTATGCGTGGTTATTGAAAAAACTAAAACTTAAAGTTTCTGAAATAAGGCCACAAAACACATACTAAATATCTGTCCACAAGACTTTTGACTAATGGATGTTGTCGCCTAGAGTTTTTTCTTCAAAATGATCTGAAAATCATCCTGCCTTATCATTCACATAAAACAATAGATTGGTTTAAATTTAAAAATGACACTTTTTGTTTGGAAAGGCAATATGCGCAGGGGTGTGACCTGCTGTGATTCACACCTGAGAAGACAATGGGCCCGCATAATGAGCGCATAATGGGGCTGCATACTAATGACCCTTTCATTCAGGTGTGTCACTGAGCCACAAGAATGCAATGACAATATATATATATATATATATATATATATATATATGCCTATATAATACAAAATTGGTTCACAGTTCCAATTATTTATTTATTTTTCAAATTGTGCTTGCAAATTGTATAATATCAAATGTAAAAATTTCTAGTAATTGTGCAGTTAATTATCATACTGTTTTTACAGAAAGTTTGGGAATGTATCCCAAATGTGTCACTAATAAAACACAATACAAATAATTTAAAGAGGAGGCTTATATTGAGCTTTTAAGATTTACCTAAGATTTATTTATATGTAGCCTACATATATTTTTGCTATTTTAATAAAAAGGTTACAATTACAACAACAATTAAAATTTTAACTATATTTCAAATGTAATCTTTCTTTGTATTATATACTAAAGTATACATTTTATCATACATATTTCACAGTTGCGGATTAATTAGTTTGAATATAGCTTACAATCGAACAAACACTATAATAACATCTTAGCAACAAGCTTATTTGATGTGGCAGTATTTTACAGTAAAAACGACATCTTGTCTTTCATATGTAACATATCGTTTTTATGATTAGGACATATAAATGTTAATTTGCAGTTTAATACGTTGCTTATACAAAAATATTTTATTTCAACATATTTCAGTCGATTTTTACTCATCTCAGTATTGGAATATAGTTAGGTAAAAGCTGTTCATTCATTCACACACAAAAACGCGATTCAAACAGTCTTTTTGTTTACAGACACTATTCCATATCGCGATTAGCACAAAGCACTTGAAAATAAAGAATGTACCTATTTCCTCGGCTGGATCCGTTGCTCCTCCAAATGAAACTACCTGTAGCCTACTTCTGAGGTAATTTTTTCCAGGATTATTATTAAGATAGTACTATTATTCCTCACAGCATCGTAATATGAGTCTCTTTCGGTGTGTTATCCAGCTGGTGTGGGCGTGGATCGCCTCAGAGCATTTGTGTTTGAATAGAGCGCGCGCTCTGTGGGCGTGGTCAAATTAACTTTAATGAGCTGAGACGAGAACGACTATCATCTCTCTCTTTTCGTACAGATTACATAAAATGAGAAAATTTTATTTTCTCATTTAAAAAAAAATAATATTTAAAAAAAAAAAAATATTTTAAAAAAATATTATTTTTTTATATAAATTACTTCATTTAAAAGAAGATAATTCAGGCTTCATGCCTGTGTGCCTGTATACCTGTTTGACTGAGTATTTGCAGAGTTACAGATGATTTTTCGGACGCGTTTCAGAATGGACTTCACTGACAGAGAGAACGCAGAACGCGCATCATGTTTATTTTTCTTTATTAGGCGAAAAGCACAACACTTTGTTTTTATTATGAGGTTCCACAAAAAAATACAAACTTAACAGGATCGAATGATGTACAACACTTATATGTAAGATCAAAATTAACAGAGTAATTTGAGTCTCTTTTGCACTGATAAGGAAAAAAGTGAGCTGGTATCGCCGGCGAGACCGCCGACCCCAGAGAGTTAAGCTGATAGAAGAGCAATTTTGACTGGAATAACCACTCGTTACAACCGAGGTATGCAGCAAAGCATTTGTGAAGCCACAACACGCACAACCTTGAGGAGGATGGGCTACAACAGCAGAAGACCCCACCGGGTACCACTCATCTCCACTACAAATAGGAAAAAGAGGCTACAATTTGCAAGAGCTCACCAAAATTGGACAGTTGAAGACAAATGTTGCCTGGTCTGATGAGTCTCGATTTCTGTTGAGAAATTCAGATGGTAGAGTCAGAATTTGGATAAACAGAATGAGAACATGGATCCATCATGCCTTTTTACCACTGTGCAGGCTGGTGGTGGTGGTGTAATGGTGTGGGGGATGTCTTCTTGGCACACTTTAGGCCCCTTAGTGCCAACTGGGCATCGTTTAAATGCCACGGCCTACCTGAGCATTGTTTCTGACCATGTCCATCCCTTTATGGCCACCATGTACCCATCTTCTGATGGCTACTTCCAGCAGGATAATGCACCATGTCACAAAGCTCGAATCATTTCAAATTGGTTTCTTGAACATGACAATGAGTTCACTGTACTAAAATGGCCCCCACAGTCACCAGATCTCAACCCAATAGAGCATCTTTGGGATGTGGTGGAACGGGAGCTTCGTGCCCTGGTTGTGCATCCCACAAATCTCCATCAACTGCAAGATGCTATCCTATCAATATGGGCCAACATTTCTAAAGAATGCTTTCAGCACCTTGTTGAATCAATGCCATGTAGAATTAAGGCAGTTCTGAAAGCGAAAGGGGGTCAAACACAGTATTAGTATGGTGTTCCTAATAATCCTTTAGGTGAGTGTATATCATAGGTGCTGATTTTAATGCTTTTGTCAACTATTCAGTTGATAGGTCAGGACACACAGAAAACTTAGATTAAAAAAATGCTTCTGAGGCTTTACGTTCCTGGATGAATGATATGAGGGTGGTGGATCTGTGGTGTATATTAAATCCTAATACTAAAGACTTCACCCACTTATCATCTAGACACAAATCTTTTTCCCGAATTAACTTTACAGTATTTTTGCTTCTAGAGGCTTGTTCCATAATATCATGGATGTCAGCTTATTTCCAATGGCACTTTCTGACTATAAGGCAGTGATTGCTCTTGCTTTGATACATTCTAAACCAGCTTGGGCCCCTAGATGGCATTTTAACACCACGCCTCTTCGTGACAAAGCATTTAAAACTATGTTCTCAAGTCAACTAATGGACTTTGTTGAAATAAATAAGGGTTCAGTGTATTACCCAAGGATACTCTGGGATGCTGGAATTTTGCTGTATGCTATGCTTCCAACACAAGGAAGGCCGGTGACAGCTGCCAAGAAAATAGTGGCAACAAGATGGAAGCCTCCACTCTCTCTGAATAAGCAATATTGGTTGCTTACTTTTATAGATGTGGTATATCTCAAATTGTTCACTGTGCACATTCATGGTGCAAGAGAGGTCACCATAAGGCTTTGGGCCCAAACTTTGGAGAAGCTTAAAGGTTTATTGGTTTGAATTGAGGAGATCTCATCTCATCTCTCTCCCTCTCCCTCTCCCTCTCCCTCTCCCTCTCCCTCTCCCTCTCCCTCTCCCTCTCCCAATATCAATTCCTGCCAAATTCACATGATATATTCAAGGATACCAAGGGACAGTTTACATAGAAACAAATCTACCCACAGGAGTTATGATAGTAACGCATAGCCAGAAGTGCATCCACCTACAGTAGTCTCACTGTTAATAGGATCATTAAGAAAGCTTCATAATGAGGAATCAGTAGCCTATATTTGTTACAACAAAAAATACAAGCAGACTCTACAAAGACTTCCATTGTAAGTGCATTTTTACCACTGAGGAGTCGTATATTGCAAGTCTCAATCATCTAATTTTGATGCTAGAGCATACCTTTAACTAAAATAAGAATATCTGGCCATACACTACAGTAAAACAAGTGGCATGAGCACTTGCTCAGTGCTGTCATGTGACAAGTATGTGAGGCATGCTGAGCCGTGGAGGGAGGCAGAGCTGGCTCAACTTGTGAAAGTGGATAACTCTGGAGGATTACGGCTGGCTGATGATCCAACACGAGAGAGAGAGAAATCCCTGATGATCGCTGTCTAAATGCTCTTATCAGCCTTATCAATTCGACTGTGCAGGTCTGTCACCTATCTGGAGGATTGTCTGAATGAGATTCTGGCTTTGTTCTGTCAATGCCATTTGGGTCATAAATGCGGTCGGTTTTCATGTTACAAAGAATTTCGCTCAAGCAATGATATCTGAAAGTTGTGCTGGAAGCCTCAAGCATCACTCTTAAAAATAGAGGCTCCAAAATGCAGTTTTCGCAGCAATACTATAGAATAACCATTTTTGATTCCCCAAAGAATTAACCTTTCAGTGAACATTTCTTTAAAAGAACGCTTTTTTCCTTAGTGTGACGAATATTTTAATGATCTTAAGAAGCTTTTTTCACTATAAAGAAGCTTTTGAATTATGGAAGGGTTCCATGGATGCTAAAGGTTATATGCCAAATAAGGAACCTTTATTTTCAAGAGTGTAATAATTCAGTCTATGAAATCAATGTATTATACATTCAAAGCAAATGAAGGTTTTTATGTTTGATTTGGAGATGAAGGTGGTGTATGGGTTAAATCAGGTTAATTAGATGGGGGGCAGGGAACACTATGATCACTAACTTCAGTTAATCTTTTCTGAGGAGTGATCATCCGCCTCTAATGCTCCTTACGCTGCCAAAGTGTGATGACAATTACACGCAGAGAGTCTCACAAGGAGGATTAAGGTGTCTCTGTTGCTCAAAGGATTTCAGAAATCCTCACCATGAATTTGACGAACCAAATTGTCACCAAAAACGATCATGATGCATTATTCTCCAAAGCAAATGATTCTCATAAAATGACTGCCTCAGCCATAGAAAACCAGGCAGCCATTTCTGATTGTTGCTGGTGGGTGGTTGTAGTCAAGGGCGATATTCTTACCACTTTCTGTCCTGATGCAGAAGCGATGCTTAAAGCCCTTGTGAGAGTGGGAGCAGGTGATGACTTCGGGGCTGGAGCAGCCTACATCCACATACCTCTGGTTATGCACAATGTTACAGGCATAACACTGCAGCCCATCAACTGTAAAGCAGAAAGCAGATATTTGTTTTTATCAGAGCTGTGGAGAATACTACTAATAATAAAAAAAGCAGCCTACTGTATTCCAAAATGTGCCAAATTCAAAGTAAATGTACAGCAATATCTTCGTTCACCATGAGTTTCTCAATGATTTCGCCCCCACTGTGGCTTCAGATCAAACATGGATGAGGTTATAGCGACTGAGATTGAATTTAGCCCTGGGATTTTAAGTCACTCAGCCATGTGCTCAGAACCCTGCTCTTGATACACATGGGTTTAGCTGCACGGTGCCTCTGGCTACACTATGACAGGTGGTTGTTAGGCTTATGTACTGTTCCTCTTTGATAATGTTATGTCGAAAAGGCAGTACATTGCATGTTATTAATGAAATGCTTTGAAAAAAGTAAATCATTTACATCAACAAGGAAAAGCATTCGCTTGCATGCATTATTGATGCAATTGAGTCCCACTAATCTTTTGAATGATTTGCAGTGACATGCGATCTGTCTGACATAGTGCTTTGAGACTATCCAGTAGAAATCTGTATAATGTGTGCAGTTTCTGACAGGTTATTGGCTTTTCTCCTGTATGGTAATTTATGATTTCTGGTAATGTGATCTCCATGTCCTTTTCAAAAGGCAAAGTTCATCTGGTGGCGGTGGCTCACTTTATATAACCCCCTCACTGGAATCCGTTCAGACAGAAATGTTGTATTTGCATGTAAGATTAGATCTAAATGAGGCTAGTGAGCTTTAGGATGCAACACTGCAAGCAAACAAAGATATCTGAATTTATTACTGTTATATAGCTTAGATACTTTTGGCATCATAATATAGCTCCGATACATTTGAGTCAGAATTCTAGTGTAATACGTTTCAAATACAAAATGTGTGTTTCATTGATTTTTGTGTTACAATGAACACAAAGGAAATTTTTCTGAATGTTGCAAAGAGGTCACCAAGCAAGTTTATTGGTCAGGTGGATTGTTCAAAGAACAAGGGCATAAACATTTTTGCTATATAACACAAAAACTTATATACACATAATTTGAGCTTAAATAAATAAACACGTAGAGAAAAGACAAATACTATTGCCTTGAAAGAAACTGAATTGAATGGAATATTGCATGAGTTAAGCTTATTTCGGCTTGCCCAATAGTTTTTTCCCCCCTTGTTTTAATCACAAACCAATTTTTTTATGACTGACAAAAAATCTTAAGACAAAGAAAAAGAAAGAATAAAGAAAGAAAGAAAGAAAGAAGGAAAGATAAATATATATATATATATATATATATATATATATATATATATATATATATATATATATATATAGTTTTGTTTTTTCAATGTGACTGAAACAAACATACACATACACCTACCTTGTGACATCAAAAGTGTCAGCAATGCCAAGAAATAATACAGTCCATATCCGTGCAGCAGGCGTGTATGGAGAGTCATTGGTGCAGCTGGAGGAAAAAGTCACTCAGGGCTGGAAGTGAGATGAATCCTCCTGGGAGTAGTGCTCTCTGCCTCTTTCAGCATGAGCCACCACTCTCAAACAAAACACACAAAAGATACTCCACAGGAAAAGGGGAGGGGCGTACTATCAAAAAGGAAGAATCAATAATGAGCCATTAAGAATAGAGTACATATGTCACATCGAAATTAAGTATACAGTCATTTGCCCCTCGTTTTTCCCATCCTTCTTAAACCCTAGAGAGAGAGTCTCCAGTCCCTGCCAGAAGCACACAGTCTGCCTGAGACCCTCTGCTGGATCAGTGGTAATTTGCTCAATGATAATCCCAAAGCCCCAGATAAACACTTTCACGCCCAGTTTCTCACTGTGACAGAAGAGTCAGTCTCAATGCTCTTATGTGTGTGGTATTAGTGTGTCTGAGTCTTCAGGCCATATTCCATTTAATGAAAATTTAAGAAGCAAATCCTCACTCGAGAAGTGATGTTTAATGAAGGAGTGGGTGGGTTTTGGAACAAACACAGACACAAATCAAAAGCCCTTGCTGTGCTTTGAAGGGTCCAATCAGTTTCAGAAGTGATTAGATGGTTACCTGGAACACTTTCATACTGTATACAGACATTAACGTTTGATGTCTCTCTCTCTCTCTCTCTCTCTCTCTCTCTCTCTCTCTCTCTCTCTTCTTCTGCCACTATATTCTCTTAATAGAGGTTATCTTCATGACACTGGCTGTCGTGATCAAGAGAGTAGAGGTGTCTGGGTGTGATGTGTAGCGGGTCTAATTAGGGAAGTGGTAAGGATGACATAAATATTCATATGAATTAACATATTGTTAAAGGAGATGTATGCACATTTGATATATTTACTCTTTTTTCAAACCACAATCACATAGTAAAACTAGATTTTTACATGTTCTAAAGAAAACGTGAGTGTTATTTGCCTGTGCGAAATTCCCCGCCACAGTTCTGGTTACCAGGGTGTTGTTGTATGGTTGCTAGTTTCTTAAATGGTTTCCAGGGCATTGCAAGGTCGTTGCTAGGGTGTTCTGAGTGGTCATAACATTTTTGATGTCTTAATTTCCAGGCTTAAGATAGATTTTGAATCTCAGATGTTCACTGTGGTCTCAGACAAGTGGATCCTGCTGTAAATATGTTGCTTAGAATGGAAATAGTCTTTTATAGTGATAGATGCTATTTATACTTAGTGCAAATAGTGGCAGGTACTATTTTCTTAAATTTTATTATAATAATGCCTCTGAAAGCTGATATGCGATGGGAAAAGGGAGAAGAATTTTGGAAGATGGCAGATTCGAACTCGGGTTGGTCGCATCAAAAGCTAGCACCATCCGCCTGTTATCAGCAGGATTGCTTTCCTGCCTGCAGCACAAAGATGAAGCATACAGAAAGAGAGTTATTTGCCCATGCAAATAGTGCTCTTGATGGTTTTTGTGAATTTCTTTTTTGTTGTTGTTGTGGCCAATTTTAGTGACCACCAGTCAAAAACCGTTAATTCAATTGTAAAAGTTAAAGTAAACCTCTACTTAACAAGCCGTACTATTTGATCTATCATTCCTGTACATAGCACAAACATGTTGGATGAGTTACCATCATTGTCACAAATTTGATCATTTGATTAGTGATCCAGGAAATGTCGTAAATATTATGTATTTATTTTGTCATGTTTTTAAAAAAAAAAAAAAAAAAAAAAAATTCCAGGTTTACAATAGATTTTGAATCCCACATTTTCAATGTTACATAGAATGGAAATGTTCTTTTATAGAGTTTTCAATTATATTCTTATATTATTTAAAAACAAAAGTAAACCATAATTCAAAGCAACAACTAAAATTTTAGTAAGATCTTATTGAGGCACTTTTGTAATAACATACTATTTCCTTCATGCAGCACAAAGATGAAGCAGAAAGAAAGCAGAAGTGGAGCCTGAAAAGGTCTAAGTCTTCACTCCTACTCTGTTTGGCATGATCCAGAAGTGCAGAGATTAACTCTGCAGATGAGGAACAGTAGCTTCTGGCTTAGCTCTGGGGTACACATAATTGCTCATAATAGCTCTGCATGAGTCTGTTGTTATTTAGGACTGCAAAAGAGTGAGTGACAAGCATGCGATGCAGGATTCTGAATCCTTCATGCTGTGCTGGCACAAAGACAGCTGAGGCATCAGTCCAGCAATATTAGAAAATACTGAGAACACAAAAGCATGACATTTTCATCTCACTCCGATGATCCGAAAGACAAGCCTTCTGCTATACCTTTCAGGTGGTGAGGAGAGATTCACTGTTTACTACTTGCAGTTATTCATCAGGTGTGTGATGGGCTCATAGTGACATTAAGCAGTAATCCTCTTTAGAAATGTGCCTGCATGAGAAGAATATATGATTTCCAAAGACTATCCGATTACTGTAATTTCATTTAAGCTTGATGGTCTCACATTAGGCTGTAGCAGGAATTCAACTGAGCTTATTCATTATTTGTTCTCAAATCAGGCAACACTTTTGACATGACGGTTTCATTTCATTGCTAATTCAGAACTGGACTCAATTAAAAAAAAATCATTAATCAAACTTTTTATGTTTCAGCCTAAAGATTAATTAGCGCATTGTACAAGATACTATACACTTCTCAGGAAAAAGCTGGTTACTGCCACAAAGATGAAGCCTAAGACAGTAGATTCTGGCTCTTAAAACAATGACTGCCGCAGGACGAGTCTATGACTGAACTCTAATGACTCAGCCTGCAGTCCAGACCTGCCTGTTCACTTTCATATGGATCAAAATAAACTGGACAACTCACAGTACTCACTCTGAACATCAACGCAGGAGTTCAGCAGTTCACTTTGACATGTTATGATGTGTCAACAAGGATTTGGAGTACTTTGTAAAATATTATATCCACAGGAGCAGCTATCACAGATTCCCAAGGCCCAATAAAAGTTATATAATTAAATATAAGTCTAATAAGTATGTCAATTCAAGTCAAGTTTAATGTCCCCATGCAGTGAGCAGGCCGAAAGCGTGCAAGAAAAAAAAAAAGATTTTAAGTGAAGAGGGGAGAAAAACCTTAAGAAGACTGAGTGGAGTGGTAAGCAAATGTAAGCTGAGTGGTAAGCAAATGCACTATGACGAGAGTCCAAAAAAACACACTTTATTAAAGAAAAGATTAGGAAAACACAGGAGATTATAAAAGTAAATATTCCAGACAGTAAATAAAGACAACCCCGCAATGTGAACAATGGGCTTAAATACACACAGGGACTAATCAACATAACATGGAACAGGTGCATAACTCAAATCAGAAACCATGGCAACAAACAATGAATGAAAACTCAGGCAAACAGGAAAACGGAAAATAATGAAATTTAAACCAAAACAGGATGAGACCGTTACACAATCTCAGCCAGTGTTGTGATTGTTAAATAAAACTAAAATTGTAAAAACAAAAAAAAACATGTTCTGTGATTTAAATAAAGGCTAAATGGAATAGAATATAAATATTAATGATGAAAAACTTGAACTTAAAAAAAAACTTAAATGAAATTAGTTGAAGTACAGTACTACAATTACTAAAGCAAAATAGAAAAATAGAAATATTTTTTGAAAACAAAGACTAAAAAATGACAAAAATGACAAAATCACATAACAAAAATACTGAAAATGAAAATATATATGAATAATAGTATATAAATAATATACTGGACAAAAATAACATGGGACTCAGTTGGAGGAGCTCATCCTCTTTGTTTCTGGCATGACACACATTACATTACAATAAATTAACATATGCCAAATATTATTTATAGTTTGTCTGATAGACAGTTGATATGTTCATTAAATAAATAAATTAATATGAAAGTCAATGTTAAAAAATGTCTCAGGTTACGACTGTAACCATGGTTCCTTGAGAAGGGGAACGAGACACTGCATCTTGGATTGACACTATGGGGAACATCATCAGCATGACAGGTGCCTGAAGCACGTGTAAACACACTCCAATTTCATTGGCTGGCGACAGCCCATGACGTCATAAGCGGAGCGCCAGGAAGTATAAGAGGGAGCCCGTAGTACATGTCATCAACTTCTTTTTCTGAAGGAGATGTGCATGCAGACCCAATGGCATGAGAAAGAGACACAGTGTCTTGTTCCCCTTTTCAGGATACCATGGTTACAGTCGTGACCGGCACATCTTGGATCGACGCAATGGGTAACAAATACCCACTCCGCCATCCTGCGGGGATGCCTGCCTCACTAGGTGAGAATATGTACAAACATAGCAGGCATAGCATACCTTGACTCAATGGATTACTTAGCCGGAGTTAGAGCATCAACCCAGGGAGCACACATAAGAGACGTACACAAGCTGTAGTGGTAACATCCCTATGCCAATGTCTCCAACAAGAATGGAAGATTTTCTAGCTTGTAATGCCTTTATAGCAAGGGAAGTCCCGGTCTCTAGAAACATGACGCGCTTGAGGCTGCACGTTCGTGTTAGCTGCCTGGAGCAACCTGAAGAGCTTTTTAACGCAATTTGTTTTGTTTTTTTACCTTATTTCCCGGCTCACATGTCCGATCGACAGGTATTACACACAATGTTAAACAGTCCCGGGACCCGAAGTAATAAATTGGGACCCGACACAGACCCGGCTGACCATTTAAAATATGGACCCTAACCCGTACGGCTCCAGGGTTGGATCCCTGGTCCTCGGGTCTTGGGTGCCAAATATGAAAAGAGTTAGGAATCAAATTTCCAGAAAGATAGAAATGGAGTATTGCTAATGCTATTGACACAAGTAATGTGACCATTGATGTAAACAGGGAATGTATTAACGCAGGTAGAAGCAACATGTGCGTAAAAATAGATATAGGCCTAATATGTGTCAATACTGATTATAAAAAGGGGGCCTTTAGAGCTCTCGAGTTAGAAATTCCATTATAGCTGGCATAGAGTGGTATATTTAACTTTTGCCTCTGCAAGAAATAATAAAATGAGGACTGCCCTTAGACTCTGATCTTGTTCCAGTCTGTTCATCGAGTAAGAATCCATTGGGGGGGTATCTTGACATAATCATCTCAAAAGGAGAGATTCTTTTTGAGAATAGGATATCCCGCCAGACTTTGTGAAGTCGGTCAAGAACGACTTTTGGTACCGGTTTTGACATTTTCGCAATGAAAATATTATTGTGATTATACTTGTTTGTCTGTTATGTTTTTCTTCATAATTGTAGTCTACGTAACTTAGTTTTAAGGAATGGTTATGGGTATGGTTTAGGGGTATGAGTAGGATTAGTGGCTCAAAATACATTTGAATGCTATATTGTTAATACAACTGCCATTTCCCTACACATCTCTGTCCATTACGTTTGATCCTTTTTATATTCTGTATAAAATGGGTATGTTTAGGTTTGGGAATAGGGTTAAGGGATCTTACATTTATTTATAAAATGGTAAAAGGGAAATTATA